TAGATAGATAGATAGATAGATAGATAGATAGATAGATAGATAGATAGATAAGCATGGGAACAGCTCACAGAGCTCTTCCTCGGGGCTGAGCTTACACTGCGGGGTGGAGACAGGGTCACAGCCTGGTAGATGTTGATATTGTCCTGATGAATCCGGAATTCGCAGACACCATTTACGCAGATAGCAGGATTAACTGAGTATTAACAGGGCACTAATTCCAAACCCAACAAATGTTAAGGAGTAAAGAAAATGCTGCTTATTAATGAAATGCCAGATATTAGTTATTTGTTGCATATAATGAGCCATTGGATACAAAGAGGCACTGGGTAATAAAAGTATCAAATTTGAAATGATGGCACCAGTTGACATGCATGAGTGGGCAGCTAATGACCTGATTGTCAGGAACTTTGTGTCAGTGACCCATATATGTCTGTAGAGATCCGGTGCTTCCTAACGATGAGCTTAATCCTAATGTTAATTAGTCCCATCCTAATATTAATGAGTTTAACCTTAATATTAAGTAGTTCAAATTTAATATTAATGAGTTTCATCTTAATATTAATATATTGTATTTATATTGATGAACCGCCGACTACTCATTGCTACTGAGGCTCAAACACTGCATCTTAATGATGTGCTGTGCTATTCACGAGCCCCTGGCCCTCCTGGCCTCAGTGGCAATGGCCTTGTGTCCTTGGCCCTGACTTGGCCACAGCTTTCATTAGACCACTGGGACGTTCTGGAACATTCCCACAGAGTGAGGGGCTCAAAGGATGCTGGAAACTTCTGGGAGGGTCTCTTTTGTGTGCTCCAGCTGAGCCTGGGCCGGGGTCACCCAGCGCCAGGCTAGCAGGTGTGAACTGGTCACCTGACCCCAGGGCAGGTCACTCCGGCTTCTACCAGCTTATCTTCCGTTAACGTTGGGCAAGTATCTTTTTATGAGGAACCGGGATTTTTACGAACAAAGAGAATTTCTATAAAGATAAAGCTTTGGAGGGCTCGGCCCTCATGAGGACCAGGTTGCACCCTGGCTTCCTGGTCTGAGGCCTTTGATCCTCCTTCGGCTCCAGCCCACACCCAGGAACAGGGAAGGAAGAAGCCAGCGACCATCAGCCCAGCCTAGCCCACCTTCCAGATGGGGAAACTGAGGCTAGAAAGGTGCAGGCCTTTCCTGGCCCCTTCCAATCAGCAGAGCGGACTCACAGGCGCCAGCCTGAGGTCAGCCTAGATCCCCACCCTCCGAATGGGTCCCATCCTCTCTTCCCTCTTCCGGTGACTTTTACGTCAGGATTACAATAATACCTTTAATTTTCGCAATCAAAGATAAATGTCACAGACAAAAGATCCGAGTAATCAAAATTAAAGTAAACACAGCGGACGCACCCGCTCAATGGCCACCCCCACCCCTGCTGGACTCTTAGAGCCTCCCGAGAGCACCTGAGGCAGGGGACCTGGCCACCGCGTCTGCCTCGAACACCCGTCCACGCGGGAGGGTGGGCAGCCAAGGCCCGCGGGCTCCGGTTGGAGCTGGGTCCGGGCAGGTCCTGGCAGCCTCAGCCCCTGCGCGAACGCCCGCCCCGCCCAGGGAGGGGATCCGGCCCGCGCTCGGCAACGCGGGAGCCAGATGGGGACCAGCTCGTGTCCCCTCGACCTCGGCCACACCTTCCCTTCCTGTCTCCACGGGAAGCGCCAGGCCAGGCTGACGAAGTGTCGCTGGGGGTCCCGGGGACGTCGTTCGAAGCCAGCCTCACAAGCGGAAGGGGGGAAGGAACCGCGAAGGCGTGAGGACCTCGGTTAGCGGCACTCCCGGGTGCTACCTCGGGCGAGACCCCCGGGCGGCCCGCCGCGGCCCCCCCTCTCGCCGAGCCGCCCCGGGGCCAGCGCGACGGCGGGAGGAGGAAAGGCTCCAGCTGCTGGAAGCGCGGGCTTCGCAGACATGGGACTCCGAGGGGGAGCCGCTGGCGGAGCTAACGGCCAGGCAGCGGCGGCGCCCGACCCCGGAGGTGCTGGTCGCCGAGCCCGGCTGCGGGTGCCTCCGTGCCCACACCCGGACCTCGCCCGCGCCCGCGCCCGCGCCCGCGCCCCGGTACTCACCTCGGCGCCGGCGGACAGCCGCGCGGGCTGCAGGATTTTACCTGGACGACCGCCCCGCCCTGGCGCTTGACTCCTCGCCTCCTTCCGCCTCTTCCCTCCTACCCACACCTCCTTGGGCTCCGTCCTCCTGCCAGTTAGCTTCCTAGTGGCCAAGGAGAAAGCGCTCCCTCCCGTCGCCCCCTCACCCGCTTCGGGTTCCTTCACCTCTAGTCTGTTCTCCATTGTGGCCTCTTCCTCCCGCACCTGTGCTCAC